CCGATACGGTGTTGACAACTGGAGCATACAGAGGCTTCGCGGCTATTCGAGATCAGTGGAGGCGCATTATGGCCGCTTGGATCGAAGAGAAAACGGAATCCAAATAGGACAATCCGAAAACTTCATCGGAAACCAAATCCGTAGCCCATTAGACAGGTGTTTTTGACGAAAACAGAAAACCAAATGCTAAAGAACGGAAAATCCGCAAACAGCAATGAACACTCAAACCGAAAAACCGAAATTCTTTAGCACAAAAACCGATCTTAAAAAAATATAGAACATCCCAATGCCCCCCTTAAGGATGAATCGGTCAGTTCAGTCTACAGATCATTCAAATGATAACAGAACGACCATTATTGTTACTGAAACCTCGACGAAAACTTTTTATTATTATTATTTTTCAATCAGAAACGTGCTGCAAACCAACTTTAGTCGCGCGATATTTTTCAGGGAAGGTGTCTGCTGTCACGCAATCGTATTATTCATCGACAACGAACATCGATGCTTGACACCTTGGAAATTGTACAGCTACAGCCTCACGGAATTTTAATTTGAATCATAGATTTGCATTTTAAGGCGAAATGGCCCAGTCCTTCCTATAAATATAGAAGAGGATTGATCTCTTCGCGAACGTAGTGAAGATTCAGCCAAGAACACCACGGAGATGTCAATATTTTCAGTTCGCTTCGTTTCGTTTGGCAATTTACAGTAAGCCCTAAAAAATTCCGGAGATATGGTCGACTCTAGTTTTACAATAGAGACTGAATACTTTGTATGACATAAGATCTTTGAAAGACAGGCGAAAGAGCAGTGTTACAAATGTTAACTCTTTAACTCAGTTGTATCCAGTTCTGCGCATAGACTCCATCATCTGCTACATCTGTTTAGGAAAGTGCGCGCTAGTCGTAACACGACCACATTTGTTCCATCCAAGTCCAATCGGTATAACTTTCATACGTAGTTTTTTTTTCTATAGAGTCTTTTCATATTACAAGAAATTGTTTTTGAATGACAGAGTATAAAATATAAATTAAAACAACTTTTTGCAAAGTTCA